TTAAGTTGTGAAAAGTCTCAAACTATTGGAGAAAAAAGATAAATTTTTTTTGAAAGAGTCCAATCTAAATTTAATAAGTACTCTTGTGTTTCCAATTTATTTGTTGTACTTTTATTTTTATTCAGCTTTAAATAGAATGTTCTTTTTTCTTGGGGGTGGGGGTGCATCTTTAATACCACAAAGTTAAAAGACATTTTTATATATTCTACATATCTTTAAATTAAAAGGTCTTCTTTTTAATTATTTTTTTCATATAATATTAAAATTAGACAAATCTATATCTGTCTTTTTTATCTATTTATTCTATACTACCTTAAAAGAATGAACTACCTAACTTAAATGTTATATTATTATAATACCCCCAACTTAAAACACCAAATTTAATATATCTTTTATATTGCATATTGTATTATATTTATTTATGTATATTATATTATATAATATTAAAGGCAGATACATTTTCACATTGAGGAGTTGTGACATTTCCAAAGAGCTATAACTTTTCCGATGAGTTGTGACCTTTTCGAACTGTTGTGACTTTTCTATATGGTTGAGACTTTTTCAAAGAGTTGTGACTTTTCTGAAGGCTTGTGGCTTTTCCAAAAAGTTATGAATTTTCCGATGAGTTGTAACCTTTTTGAATGATTATAACTTTTCTAAAGGGTTGTACTTTTTTTATAGGGCACAATAAGCATTTTCTTCATATGCTATCCTTTGTTGGCTATAAAAAGAGGGATTTCCTCAAATTTTTAAACTTCAATTTTTAAAAGTTTTTCATTGTTGTTCTTTCTTCTTCTTCTTAAAACACCCAATTTAGTATATCTTCTATATTTTATATTATATTTATTTATATTATATTATTACTATATATATTAGAAGAGTTTAGGATTTACTACCATTGTTCCAATAAAATCATTACAAATGTCCAATACTTACTATATAAAATATATAAGTGGGCCCCACCACCTTCCACTTAAATACTACATATTATATATTATTAATTACTATACTATAAATCACTACTAATATCCAATATATTTATCAAACTATTTAAGTGGGCCCCACCACCTTCCACTTAAATACTACATATTATATATTA